GGCCAGTGAAGCCAGGCGCCAGGCAGCGGCGCACCGGCAGGGGATTCGAAGAGAGCACGATCGGCCCACGGATTCCAGAGCTCAGATTCTTGGCATCGCTCGGACGTGTGCATTTTTTCTCGGCGAGGACCATCGAGGACCCTCCTGGACCATCGAGCAAAACGAAAACACGCGCGAAGCCGAAAACAAAAAGCACGGGAAGTGGACGTCCGAGCGACGGCAAGGATCGGCAAGACAGGGCGGCAGTGCCGCGCAGACCCCACGACTGCACTGCCCTTGAGAGGCGCCCGGGGCCGGCTTCTCCGCCCGTTGCGCCCCGCGGGCTCGGCAGCGCTGTGCGGTCGCTGGCTCTTGACAAGCGCTGGCGGCGAGCGCCGTCGCGCCGCCCGGCCCTGCGCTGGAGGCTGGTCGGGGGACCGCCTCGTCGCAGGCCTATAGATCAGAGCCCCGAGTCATTAGGGAAAACTCGGGTCAGGGCTAACTCGGGTTCGCTTTGCGGGATTCCGAACCCGAGTTACCCCGGGCCCGAGTTACCCCGGATAACTCCGGCATCCAGAGCCCCAAATCATCAGGGAAAACTCGGGTCAGGGCTAACTCGGGTTCGTGTTTCGGGAATCCGAACCCGCGTTACCCCGGACCCGAGTTACCCCGGATAACTCGGCCGCCCAAATAGAGGTTGACACCAACACCAAGATCGGCGGTGTGCCTCCACCGAGGGCCCGATCTCAGCGACGGTGGTAATCTTCTGGCTTCCAAGGTGACCGAAATAATACCGCCAACACCGGAATCTAGGCGCATCTTTCCCATGTGGAGGCGAACCCCTGTGCTGGTGTTGGTGCCAATGCCCAGGCCTCCAACCTCTGTCTCTCTTTCCGTGTGCACGGCTGTGATTGGACACTCGCCGCGGGCATTGATATGGCACTTCTGGCCCCTGCTGTCGACGCATTGCCTAGGCCAATGAGGGACGTCTGTGCTGCTCTGGGTTAGCCGCTGAGGTGCGTGGGCCAACGGCTTGCCGTCCTAAGCCGAGGGCGGACGCAGTGCAATTATTTGGATACTTTCCTGTTCCCTTCTCCTTCTCCCCCTTCTCCCCCTCCCCATCCCCTTCCCTCCTTCTGTCGGTCGTGCTCGCGAGGGTTTCTGTGCGGGTGCTGGTCTACCAATGTCCGCCTACACACCCGCGAGTTGTTGTTGTCGTCGTCGTCGTCGTCGTCGTCGTCGTCTTTGTTGTTGTTGTTGTTGTTGTTGTTGTTGTTGGTGGTGGTGGTGTTGTTGGTGTGTGTGTTTGTGTGTGAATGTGTGTGTGCGTGTGTGTGTGTGCGTGTGCGTGTGTGTGTGCGTGTGTGCGCGTGTGTGCGCGTATGTGTGTGTGTGTGTGTGTGTGTGTTTGTGTGTTTGTGTTTTTGTTTGCTTGTTTGTTTGTGTGTGTGTTGTGTGGTTGTGTCTGTGTCTGTGTCTGTGTCTGTGTTTGTGTGTGCGCGTGCGTGCGTGCGTGCGTGCGTGCGTGCGTGCGTGTGTGTGGGTGTGTATGTGTGTTTGTGTGTGTGTGTGTGTGTGTGTGTTCCCCCCCCTCTCCCGTTCCCTCTCCTCCTCCTCCTGCTCCTCCTCCTCCTCCTCCTCCTCCTCCTCCTCCTCTCCGTCTTCGGTCGCTGTCAGTTTTAAGCCTGAGGGTATCGACTCAGGGACGCAGCTGATCGGACTGTGCAGAGGGCCATCGTGCACGCGGTGGCCTTGCGCGCGAACAAGCTCTGCGGAGGCCAGCCTGGCGCACGCGCACTCTCCCCACGCGAGCCCGCGTGCTCCCCAGACGAGCGCGCCCTGCGAGATGGGGTTTCGTCGGAAATCCCCCTGTAGGGGGACACGCCCGACTTAACCTTCATCGTGCGTCCTCTTGATGCGGGCTGACTGTGCCCCCCGAGAGCCGCCGCGCTCCCGAGAACCGGCGCCGCCGCTCCCCGCCGTGCGCCGACCTCCGCGCGTGCCGCGCAGCTCTCCCTCTCCGCGCGCGCGTGCCCTTCGCCGCCGGAGTTCAGTCGGGCATGTCCCCCCACAGGAGGAGCGCGCGGAGCAGAATCTGTGTCCGTCTGCCCGTCCGTCCGTCCGCCAGTCCGTCGGTCTGTCTGCCCGTCTGCCTGCCCGTCCTCCTCGGCGCCCCCGCCCCCGGAGGCGGGGCGAAAGCGCGCGGAGCAGAATTTATGTCCGTCTGTCCGTCCGTCCGCCCGTCCGTCCGTCGGTCTGTCTGCCCGTCTGCCTGCCCGTCCTCCTCGGCGCCCCCGCCCCCGGAGGCGGCGGCGACGCCGCCGGCGCCGCTGCTGCCGAGCGGGCGGTGGCCGAGCGTGGCGTTCCTGGACCTCGGGGGGGACGCGCAGCTGTCGGCGGTGCTGCGGGCGGTGGAGGCCTCCACCGGGGGGTCTCTGGCGCCGGCGGCGGGCGTGCTCCAGGGAGAGGTCTCCCCCTCCTCCTCCTCCTCCCCTCCTCCTCCTCCTCCTCATCCTCCTCCTCCTCCTCCTCCTCTCCTCCTCCTCCTCCTCGCTCCTCCTCCTCTCCTCCTCCTCCTCCTCCTCCTCCTCCTCCTCCTCCTCCTCACTCCTCCTCCTCCTCTCCGGCGCCGATCCGAGGAAAATTCGCGTCGGTCGGGGGCCCCCACAAGCGGTGTGGTGACCACACCGTGCGCAGGGAGCCACATGCGAAACCTACCCCTACCCCCCACGATTTCTGAGGGGGAGGGTGGGGTTTACATTCGCTCGGGAGCTCCCGAACGAGGTGAACCCCTCCCTCCCCCCCCCCTCAGAAATCGGGGGGGGGGTAGGAGTAGGGCTCGCAGGTGGCCCCCTGATGGCGGGGGGGCGAGTCTTCAGGCCTCCCAAAAGGGCTCTGAGTACATTGGGGGGCAGGAAGCGCACCACCACCACCACCTGGAAGGGTGGGGGCAGGGGGTGGTCACAGGTAGTCGTGGTGTGTAGCGTTGCGGGCGCTCTCGCGGAACATCGTGCACACCCGCATCCCGCACACAAGCTCGTCCTGAATCCCCCCAGGTGGTGGTGGTGCGCTTCCTGCTCCCAATAAAGGGGCTCGGTTGATCGGGCTGCATCTCTGATGCATCGGCGTGGCGATTCGATGTGGAGTCTGCTTTTCTCCACGCCGACGTCGCCGATGTATCGTCGACGTCGCAGATGCATCACCATGTATCGGCGGCGCGATCCTCCGACCCCATCTACTCGGACCCCTTTCGAAGCGTCAAGGGCATCGTTTGGGGGCTTTCGGAACTTTTCAAAGGCGGTGTTTGTAAGTTGTCGATGTTTTTTCGCGGCCCAGGGTGGTTTCCGCCAGCTGCGCCTCGTCGAGGGCGTTCCAGGGATGCCCATGTCTTCCCGAACGGCCGTTGGAGAGCCAAGTTATGACCGGAAAACCACGGGGCGATGTTAGGGGGGAAACGCTCAAGGGGGAACACATCGGCCCCCAATCGCCGACTCATCGCCGATAGGGCCCCGATAGCCCTACCCGCCAAGGAACGTGCCGCCTTATCGGGGGCATATCGCCGATCTGTCGGCGATGTCCCCCCCCCTAAGCTCAGAGATGGGGGAGGAAGGGAGGATAGGGATAATGGAGAACGGCGAGGGAGGAAGGAGCAGGCGGATAATGATGAGGAGGTGAGGAGTGAGTACAAGGAGTGGGCTGCGGCGGGGTGGGGGTGCTCAGGATTGCGGCAAGTGGTCCCGAGATTTCGTTTCCCCCAGCCATTGTCTCGGCTACGCGTAGGTCGGGTGTCCCCAAACCGCGCGATGACCACACCGTGTGGTTCGGGGTGGCCGCGCGGTCTTGGGACTCGGGTCGTTCTCCGAGGACGTCTCGGGCGGCTGGGGCCTCTAAGGTTCCGAAGACCGTGCGGTGACGGACCGTGCATCAGCCGCGCGCCGCGCGGGCCAGGCTGGGGTCGGGGGAGGAGGGGGTAGGCTACGACATCGCAAGAAGGCGTCAAGCCGACGTTCGCCGAGAGCGCGAGGCGGAGCACTCTGGGGGAGAAGCTCTTTGGGGAGGGGGGACTGAGGGAGAGGAGGGGGCGAGAGCTCCAGGAGGGCACACCACCATCAAAGCTGCGACGTCTGATGTCCGGGCATGAGCGTGTCTCTGGGCATGAGCGTTTCCCCTGCCCCGCCCCGGGTGTTCTTTCTCGGGGCCCACTCGGCGTCAGAGCCCGCTCGGTTGCCAGACGGACAGCCGAACGGGCCCACATTACGATGCCCTGGTGGGAGTCGGGTTCGCTCCGCTGCCGCTTGGGCCCAGTAGTGGGCCCGCTCGGACTGAAAAGGGGAGGGAGAGCGAGCGAGCATGCGTCACGGAGGGAGGGAGGGAGGGAGGGAGCGAGGGAGGGAGGAGCTCGTGGCTGCTGGGTACCGGCGCCGGTGGCCGCCAGAGTCCTGCACGCGTCTTCGTCCGTCGTGCCCCGCGCCTTCGTCTCGGCGCCCCAGAAACGCAGAGTGGTGTGCATGTGTGTGCGCGTGTGTTTTCGCGCTTCCCGGCCGCGTGAGGCCCCGCCTTCTTCCGCCCTTTCTCTGCTAATTCAAGCTGTGCGCGTCCCGCTTAGCTTTCAGCGGAAGAGGTTCGCTCTCGCCCTGCAGATCAAAAAAAGTGTGTTCGCGCTTCTTGCTCGGCATCCCTTCCTATCCGACCCGCAGGCCCTGCGCCTCGCGGTGCGCGCAGGCTTGTCCTTGAGGAGGTGCTCTCCTAGCGCGGCCCCGTGCTCCTTTGCCAGCCCGCGGCTCGCCCCGTGGAGTCCTCTCCCGGTGGCAACGTCGGGTGGCGTTGCTTTTGAGCGTGCCCCGCCTTGGCTTTCGCCGCCGTGAGGTCACTCGGCCGCTGGTGGAACAGAGTGCGCGGTCAGGGTCGTTTGCTTGGCGCGTCGTGCAGTTGGTTATTGCACACCGCGTCTCGGCGCGTAACCACGCCCCAGTGTGAGGCCTCGGCTTGCTGCGTTAGTCGTGGCCTGTTCGCGCTGCCTTTGCTTAGTTAGTCTCTGCGTAGCCCGCTTTGACCTGACTCGCCGCTAAGCATGGTTAATTATCCTCGTTGCTTCCGCCCGCCTTCTCTCGCACAATGGTTGTTGATTCCACGTGAGAGAGAGAGAGAGAGAGAGAGAGAGAATAAAAAAGAAAGAGATATAATGTGTGTGTGCTTCTCCTCCACATGCATGCCCGCCCCCTTCTCCCCGCTTTTGCCCAGCACCCCCCCGCACTACACCTTTAATGTATCATCGTTTTCCTCCTCTCCACCATGACGCTTGTGTCCCCCTGCTCATCCCCTGCCTCTTCCTCCTCATCCCGCACTGCGCCACCTCATGTCTCCACTCCTGATCGACCTCCGCCTCCTCCCCCTCGCGCCCCCGTCGACCTCAATCTGCATACTTCTCCCCCCCCCTCCTCTGTTTCGCTTCGGGCCATCGCCTCTGCGCTGCGCTGCGGCCGTTCGAGACGATGCGCGGGCACCCCTGGTGCGTCGTCGGAGAGGTGCAGCTGCTGGAACGCACCCCGAGGCAGGACTTCCGTGGGGAACCGACGAGAGCGCCCGAGCACCCCGAACCCTTTGATGGGCCGATTTTCCACCACCACTACCATAGGTAGACGAGGGAGGAGGAGGAGGAGGAGGAGGAGGAGGAGGAGGAGGAGGAGGAGGAGGAGGAGGAGGACCTCCTCATCCTCCCCTCCCCCGTCCTACACATGGCAGTGGTGGTGGAGAACTGGCCCATCACCCTGTCATCCGCCGACTTGCTGTCGTCAATCCGCAGCCCGAGAGGTCCCGACCCGATCCCCATGGTCAGTTTTTCGCCCTGGGCCCATTTCTGGCCGTCCCGGGGCCTGGCAACGGGCCCCAGAGGCCAAATTTCATGAGCACACGCGATCGAACATCGCAGATCGTCGGGGATCTGGGAGCCTCGAGCCTTCCCTTCCTGCCCCGCGCGCCCTCGCCGGGCCCGCGACCCCTCCCCTCCACGGCCGCTGGCGCTTGAGCGCCCGAGCGCGGCGACGCCCACGACCCTCGATCCCTGGGATCCTCGACCCCCTCGACCCCCTCGACCATCGAAGCACGATCCCCTCGAGCTGCGATCCCCCATCGAGCCTCGCTCCCTCCGGCCTCGCTCCCTCCGGCCTCGTCGCCGTCGGCCTCGTGACGAGGCCGACGGCGACGAGGCCGGCGACGAGGCCGACGAGGCCGACGAGGCCGCGGCCGCAGGTGCTCGACGCCCTCGACCTCGATGCTCGCTCCCTCCGACCCCGAGCCTCGCTCCACCTCGAGCCTCGCTCTCCCTCGAGCCTCGCTCCCTCCGACCTAAGATGCTCCCGAGAGCCCCACGAGGCTGACGGCGACGAGGCCGGCGACGAGGCCGGCGTCGTCGACGTTTCGCGAGGGGGAGGAGGAGGAGGAGGAGGAGGAGGAGGAGGAGGAGGAGGCTGGAGGGCCGGAGGAGGATGAGGAGGAGGGAGGAGGAGGAGGGAGTAGTGAGGGAGGAGGGAGTAAGTGCGGAGGGGTGGAGGGAGGGAGGAGGTGGAGGAGGGATGATGGAGGAGGGAGTCGGGAGGAGGGAGGAGGGGAGGAGGAGGAGGGAGGAGGGAGTGAGGTAGGAGGGAGGAGGGAGAGGGAGGGGAGGGAGGGAGGAGGGAGGAGGGGAGGACGGGAAGGAGGGAGAATGGAGGAGGAGGAGGGAGGAGGGAGGAGGGAGGAGGGAGGAGGGAGGAAAGGGAGTGCTTTTTTTGGTGACTGTATTAAGCTCGTTGCAAGTAGCTTGAGCGCAGCGGCCAACAGGACTGGCACAGGCTGCACACGAGAGGCCCGAGAACATGGACGCTGAGCTGCTTCCGCTCTCGCCCCGAAAACTGTCGGGAGAGAGGTATTGGCGCTGCGGGAGGGGAAGAGAGGAATCATATACGAGAGAGGAGGAGTTTGCAGCGCCGTGCGAAGAGAGACATCAGCGGGGCCCTGCTTCGTTGCCCATAGCAGGGCAGCCCTCGAGGCAGAGAGCAGTGCAAGGCTGGAAATGGAGAGACCTGCCTAGGTGTGCCGTCCAAGTTTCGGTCGGCTGAAGGAGAGGGAAGAGCTGGAAGGAGGGCCAAATTGGCCAGGCCGCCGTGCGGCTGTCCAAACCTCCAGGGGAGGAGAGCTGGACAGGAGGAAGGGCGGGGGATCTCATAAGAGGCGGGGGGAGGAAGGAGGGTCAGAATGGTATTGCCGTGCTGAAGGGCGGCCGCTGCAGCTAAAAGGCCTGTACGGGCCGTCCGCGACGGGGAGGTGGGTGTGCCTGGGCGCTAGCCGAGACCAGACAACAGAGACCCACCTCCGTGTGGCCCCTCACAGGCACACAGGGACCAAGGGGACCCTGCTACACCTGGACAAGGGCCAGAGA